GGCGGAGCGGTGCCTTTGCCGCGCTCCCGCCTGAGGTCCCGGTGCGGCCTCCGCGCAGGCCGCGCCGCCCCGGGGCCATCGGGATCCCGATCCTCGGAGCCTGGATCCCGCTTTTCAGGGCCAGGGAAAGCGGCTGGAATAGAACAAGCGCGTTACCTGGGGTGAGACTTGCGGTGTCAGTGCGCTGGCGGCTCTTCTTTTGCAATCACAGAAAACGGTGAAGGTACTGATACTTCTAGATAGTGATACAACGTTAAAATCAATGATTTTTTTTCATCCTCTGAAGTAAAATTTTAGTTGAGAAAATACATAATTTCAGGAGAACACAGTTGGCTTGATCAGGGCCCTTTTTTCCGTCCTTTCACCTCTGGTGCAGGGCACTGACTGCAGGAGATCCTGGGCCCGCAAGTGCTCTTCATTTATGGCAACCCACATCACATTCCTTGTTTGCAGCCTTTTCTTCTTCAGCACTGTTTGTCCCGTATGTAGCTCATGTGTTTCAGTTCCAAATACTTTTCTGCTCTCAGGAGTTTCCAAGTGCAGCAAAAGCCAACCTGAGACAAAAGAAAATTAAATACACCAGTGCATCCACCTTACTAATTTTGATGCTCTAAACCGAAATTAATATCAACTTCTTATGTTCTTATGTTTCTAGCTTTAATTTCCATAGATTCATTATTTTTATCACTTGTATCTGATTCTGGTTTTTTTTCTATTTTGTGCTAAAGTTTTAAGTGGTTTAAAATGCTGTCACCCCGTAGGTGAAAATCTTCTTAAGCTGATGCATTCACTACATTTGGAAGCTGTACAGCCATCAGCTTCTTAGCTGCTCTGCTTCCTGATACTGAAGAGTTTAGGATTTTTGGTAAGAGAGCATGATTGTGTTTAGTATTTTAAACACTAAAACTTGTTTCTGAAGAGCTCTGGCCTCAGAATGTCCCATCTGACAAAAAGGGTGCTGGAGAGAAGGCTTGTAGATGACCCTGTGTGCTGGAATACCTGGAGTTCTGACTTGTCTGTCCGTAGGGTGAACCTTCTTCTGCTCCAGGGCAGGAATGTGAAACTGGACTTCAGCAATTGTGTGCATTTAGTGGGTTCTTAACTGTATCAAAATGGGCTGGGGGACAAGAAGGGGAAGTAGGAAAAAATTTTTATATTTGATATGCAGGTTTTCAAAATGTTTATATTTGTCCATAAGGTTCTGAAAGATAAACTAGATACAAACAAGTCTAATTCTTTAATGTTTTTACTTTACAGTTCATGCAGACGGTTCAAAATGAATGAACATCCTAAAAAGAGGAAAAGGAAGACTCTGCATCCTTCTCGTTACTCAGGTCAGTCTAGAGCTTGAGTTATGTACACTTTAGTAAGTTAATCTTTTTTTCTCAGAATAATAACTTCACAAGAAGGTACCACATGTGCCAACACGTAGAAAAGCAGTGATATAAAGGGTGGGATAAGAAATCTTAGCTTGAATGGACAGCACCCATGCTGCAGGCTCCTTTGCTGGGCCACTTTGAGCCAATGCACCTGAATGGTTTGTTCTGTACTCCCTACACATGGGGGAACTGCAAATGAAGATGATTCTGCTTGCACAGAGGGAAGGAATTCTGTAAAAGTTGGGGTGTTCAGCACTGAACATACTGTGCACTTGTCAATGTCCTCAGTGGGAGCAGAGACCTGATACTCCAAACATCAGGGCAGCAGCTGGAAGGTGTAAATCACAACAAGAATTTTTCCAAAATGACAAGTAAAAATGTGAAAAGAATTTTGATGAAAGTGAAATACATCTGTAGCTACAAGACATGAGTACTTAATTTTTATTTTTTTTTATGTTTTGGTTTAGATTCTTCAGGTGCAAGCAGATACATAGACAACAGTGGAATTTTTTCTGACCACTGCTATAGCGTCTGTTCCATGAGACAGCCAGATATAAACAGAGGTAAGACTGTGTTTTAGGGTCTTGTTCTGCAGTTCTTCAACATGTCATGTTCCTATTCATAGAAGCAAATAGAATGCACAATATATATCAGGTGATTCCTGAGTGTCCTTGTGATCTGATGGGCCTTAGACTGCTGGGAGGTTGTTCCATTGTTCCAGTTGAAATACACTTTTCAAAATAGAAACAATGACAACAAAAAGACCCTTTAAACAACTTCAAATACTTACTTACCTAGGTAACAAAGTTTTTAAGTTGTGTCCTTTAAATGTAACATTTCATTTAAGGATTTTAAGTTTTTTTCTTTATAATCAGCTGACTATTTTCTGTTGAAATCTTCTAGACAGAGTTGCTATTTTTTGAATTCTTTTGTTTTTCTCTGCATGTATAGAAATAATTTTCAAGGTATTTATTGTTACTTTTTTTAAAATGTAGGTTATGATGTGCTTAGTAGATAAATTTATGCACGTATAATAAATAAATAGTGAATAAGGCCTATGACTAAATCAAGGAATCAGGATGATGCTAGTGTGGACAAATGATGACAAGGAAATGCTTCTCTTCCCTTTGCAGGTAGATTCCACAGTCCTGTGCAGAGCCTGGACACAGATGATGATGGGAGTCCAGTGCATGCCGGGAGCTCTCACTGGAGCGGGGCACACTCAAACGTTGGGATGCACTGTACAGACCCTAAAAAGAGGGATAAAGGTAAAGGTCAGTGTGTTTGCAGATCAGGTGCTGAGAGGTGGGAGAGCACAGCTGCTGCTGGTTTTTCATGTAACTTCCTTGCTTTGACAGCAACGGTGAAGGATTTATAGTTTCTGCTATTGCTTTGTTAGCTGAAAATACAGCATAGTCTGGCAGGGGAAAAATAACTGGTATTTGCATTTGAAAGCTGCTGCAGCTGACTGAAAAATTAAAAATGGGCCCAGGTGTTTTGTTGTGGGTTTTTTCAACCTTCTATTATGTATTTTCTTTTGCAGATAAAGGTACTAACAATGGAATGTGCAGAGACTTATGTGACTCACCTATATTCAGTGACAGCCCCACAGAAGAAGAGAAACCTCTAGATATCCAAACTGTAGAAATTTCTACAACAGAGGTGAATGCTGTAGAAGTTCACGATATAGAAACACAGACTGTGTCACCTGAGAAGCTGGAAGCTGAGGACCTTGAGGAAATCCCTCTGGAGACCTGTAAAATCTTTGAGAAGAACCAGGCTTTGAATATCACAGCTCAACAGAAATGGCCTTTGCTGAGAGCCAACAGCAGCGGCTTGTACAAATGTGAGCTCTGTGAGTTCAACAGCAAGTACTTCTCTGATCTGAAGCAGCACATGATCCTGAAGCATAAGACATGTACAGACACTCATGTCTGTAAAGTTTGTAAAGAAAGTTTCTCCAGCAAAGTGCAGCTTATTGAACACGTAAAACTACACGAGGAGGATCCATACATCTGTAAATACTGCGATTACAAAACGGTGATTTTTGAGAATCTGAGTCAGCACATAGCAGACACTCACTTCAACGACCACCTTTACTGGTGTGAGCAGTGTGATGTGCAGTTCTCCTCCAGCAGCGAGCTGTACCTGCACTTCCAGGAGCACAGCTGTGACGAGCAGTACCTGTGTCAGTTCTGCGAGCACGAGACAAACGACCCCGAGGATCTGCACAGCCACGTGGTGAACGAGCACGCGTGCCGGCTCATCGAGCTCAGCGACAGCTACAACAACAAGGAGCGTGGCCAGTACAGCCTCATCAACAAAATCAGTTTTGACAAATGCAAAAACTTCTTTGTGTGCCAGGTGTGCGGCTTTAGGAGCAGGCTGCATACAAATGTCAACAGGCACGTAGCTATTGAGCACACCAAAATATTCCCTCATGTCTGTGATGACTGTGGGAAAGGATTTTCAGGTATGTTAGAATATTGCAAGCACCTAAGCTCTCATTTATCTGAAGGGATTTATTTGTGTCAATACTGTGAATATTCGACGGGACAGATTGAAGACCTTAAAACTCATTTGGATTTTAGGCATTCAGCAGATTTGCCTCATAAATGTACTGACTGTTTAATGAGGTTTGGAAATGAAAAAGATCTTTTAAGTCATCTTCAGATACATGAGACAGTGTGATTGCTTTCTTTCCCTGTAATCAATTTGTTAGAATTGGAATTAATTTCCAGTCACTGGAATGTGATATTAAATACAGTTTTAACAACAATTTTACATTTCTAATGTTTTCATCTTTATATCAGTAAAGCATGTATAGCACTTGGTGTTGTGAATTTCCTTGTCTAGGGGTTTCAGTAGGAATAATCACATTTACAGTGTGATGGATCAGATTTTGTGGGGAGGGACAGTGGACGTAATTGCATGTTGTGATACGAGTTCTGATGGTCATCCCACTCTTTCATGTCTAGTGTACAAGACCTCTCTTGACTTTAAAAAGGCACAAAAACAAAGCAAATACCTAATTCCATGCTTAAATAACCCAATACTGGTTTCAGTTCCACATCCAGCTCATGTTACCCTGTGTGACAGCAGGTCATTGCACTGGTGTTTAGCAATAGCACTGGCCTGCCAAAGATAAGGGTGTTCCAAAAGTTCCCGGGCACGGACATCTCCAGATTCACATACCAGCCTTCATTTACCACCCCATGCTCCTGATAAGCTTTTTCAATTGTCCTATTTTTCTCTTGTGATACCTTTCTGACCTCACTGTTCCCTTTGTTCTATGTTTAAGTCCTATCTGTGGGACTGTCCAGTACATGTACGACACACTCTTCCACACGACTCCCACATGATATTCCCTTATATACCTTCAGTTCTTATATTTGAATGTGCTGAGGAGACACCCATTGCTTGGGTCTGGATTGGATCATGTTCTAAAGAGTAATTGCAAAAGGAATTCACAGTGATCCTGCTGAGATTAATTTCTTATGTAAAATCCTAGTTTAGCTCTCACTGAAATTATGTATGTCACTAACCTATGACTAGAGCAAACTTCTAGTAGTCTATATTATTGTAATAATTCTGTATATTTATCATTCTTTCCACCACTAGTAACTTGAGGAACGTTATTTTAACTCTGTAAATTTCAAACTTTTATATACAGGATTAAAAGACTGGTACATTACAAAATTTTTACTAATAACTCAAATTATTTCACACATTTGTTTATATTACATATAGCACTTTCCTGCCATTGTAATAGTTGTGAGTTTTTACAGTTCATTCTGTAGTTCTATTTCCAAGTGGATACTTGGACAGATAAAAAGACAAGTGTGGGGTCACTTAGACTATGCTAGATACCACGGTGAAAATACACATAAATTACTGGTGCAGTTTACATTTCTTCTTTCATTGATTGTAAATTTGTAATGTAAGATTGTCTAATGCAAGCTTTGTATAGAGATAATTAATGTATCAAACATTTGATCAGTGAGATTTGGTGTTACCAGCTTCAAGGCATGCAATGGTCTTTGGATTTGATTTTTAAAGCTAAGGATAAAACTTGGCTGAATGTTGTCAATTAATGGAAGTTCTGATTTCCAGAGAAGTATTTCTGGAAAGATTATGAACCACTTAGTGTTTATTTTGTTGTGGGAGGCAAGAGCATTTCTGTCACTTTGAAATGCTGATTTGCTTCTGGATCTTGTGTTTTGTCATTGAAAAGGACAGTCTGAGGGTGTCTTGCTGTATTTTATTACTCCCTTGTATAGAGAATGACAGTATCTGTGGTAGAATTGCTGATTTCCTATTTTGAACACATGCTTCCTGGCTGGCTTAAAATGGTAGCAATAATACAGTTAACAAAACACTAAGATGAATTATTTTCTATATGGAAGGCTAACTTCGCTCATGTATCTGAAAGGGGAATGCTGGTTCTCTGAAAAGTGCTCCAGCTGAGCTCTGGAGAGAAAGCTGCTCTGGGAGACAGTGACAAGAAGTGGAAAAAAGGCACTTAAAAAAAACCAAATTAAATAAGGCGGCTTAAAAAGTGTATATATTTGTGTAGAGCAGCATTGTGTCCCCAGCAGGAAAAGTGGTGTCCTGTGGCAGCACAGAGTCCTGTGACACAGCAAAGTTGCTGTTGACATGAATAACTTCATGGCTGTCTTTTGAGTTGTGTTATTTCTGATCTCTAAACTGGGAATCAAAACAATACCCTACAGGGAGATTGTGAGGCCAGATCTTTCCAAACTAAAATGTAGTGTCTAAACGGAAAATGTATCCAAGGTCATCTTAGGTAGCATTTTATAATTGAGGGACTAATGTTAGTATTTTCTTTTTAATATCTATCAGGGAATAAATGGAAGTGTACAGGAGTAGCATGTCTCATTTTAAAAGGGAACCACAAGTATGCTGCTGGCTTCCACATGATCTGCATGTTAAAGCAAGAAAGATACTAAGTAGTAGGAAAAATAGGTAATGGGTCTGCCTAAAATCTGGAAGGCTGAAAGGCATGGTTGAGCATGCCAAGGACAGGGAGGACATTTGGGTTATTTGGGTGCTCAGACCTGAGTGCAGCTGCTCTGCTACCGCCACAGATCTGTCACCCTGAAGCCTGAGCTGCTCATGTCAGCCTGGAGTGGCAGAAATAAACTCTAGGGACCGCGATTGTGGCAGTATTTATTATTTTTCTGCAGGGTGCAGTAATTAACAAATACTGCTTGTTCACTGGTACCTGCAAGGTTCAGCTGTTTCAGAATCAGCATTCCAAGCAAAAGCTATGCAAAATCATGAGATTGGTTTTAGTAGTGTTTTGTATTTGTGAGAAATATGTATTTGATTTTCTGCTTTTCAGACTTTTGAACCCTGAAGTTTCGATATGTGACTCGATTTTAGGGGTGTTTTCCAACCTTAACAAGTCTCTGTGTGTCAGATTCCTGGATCACGTTTCTTATCGAGCAAAGACCTTTTTTATGTGATTGCCGACTTCAAAACAAAGTTTACATCCCACAAATTATTGCAAGATCTTAAAATACAGCCTATTAGTAATCCTCAAATAACGTGTTCTCTAGAATGTTGTTGTCGTCGATTTTCCTTTTTGTTCTCGTTTCCTGATGCTCCTGTACCAAATGCATGAGCCATCAGTGATTTTTAACCCCTGCAAGTTCCCGTCGTTGTCACTTTGTCGGACTGTGCCGGGTGCTGACGCCGCTGCTCCCCGGGCCCTCCCGGCTCCATTTCGCGACCTGCCCGCGCTCAAGATGGCGGCGGCCGCCCTCAGCCCGCACTGAACATGGCGGTGCCCGGGCGCGCGCGGAGCGGGGTCATAGGAGCAGGAAAGGGAAGTGACGCCCCCCCCCGTCCCGGCG